CTAAATCCAGCCTGCACATCTGGCAGTTCTCTGTTGACATATTGTTCCAGACGTTTTTGGATAATTTTCAGCAGAATCTTGCTTGCATGTGATATCAGTGATATTGTTCGATAATTCCCGCACTCTGTCGGGTCACCTTTCTTCGGAATGGGAACAAATATCGATCTCTTCCAGTCAGTTGGCCAGCTGGCAGTCTGGTATCATCAAAAAAAGAAAAGACAAAGAGAAGTTTAGAAAGATTAATGGGTGTCAGAATTATGGGGAGGTAAGGGAATAGATATGATCACTGTGGGTATTTAAATTAATGTTATTGAACAAAATGTATAGGAATGGTAGAACAAAAAGTAGATTCCTTTTGTAAACTTCCATTCAAATAATAATAAAAATTGTTTAAAAATTAAAATTGAGTACTCAGCTTTCACATTAAATGATAATTTTGAATTAGTGATTCAAACTTCACTTAATCTTTAGAAAAATTCAGTGTGCTATTTGAAATTGTACATATTCCTTCTCTGAAAATTCTTGTATGTCTGAGAGGGAGAGATTGGTGGGTATTGTGGGGGCGCGAGGGCAAGGGCCCATCCCCTTCCTCTGTTGGGGGGAAGGGGTTGGAATCCCAGTCCTACCAAGCAGGGCACTGGCAAATGGTTCATCTCTGACTGTCATTGATAAAAATGAGTGATGTCATCTTCAAAGGACAACGCACAAGACCCAAGTTGTGAATGTCAAGGGCAAACTAAGGAATCAGACAAGAGTGTGGGTGCAGAAAGACAGAGAGAGGAACTGATTGGGTTATAAGTCTAGTCCTGATAAAGAAATCTTACAGTGGAACCTGGAAGAGAGAGACCTCAGCAGGAAGCTTCTAACAGGGCATGTGCTTATAACCTTTTAATCTTGATTGCTGGAAATTCTTTGAGTCTGCCCTCCCTGGCAGAAGCCTTACACAGGTCCCAGTTTCCCAAGGTTTTACCGTATAACGTCATATTTAGTGTTCAAGGCATCAAACCCATCTTTAGATGCTCTTTAAACTCAGACGAGATAAACTCAAAGTCGTGTTTTGGTTCTGATGGACTTGTGTTGGTTTTCTTCAGCTTCAATATGAACGTATGTAGTATTAATTGGTGGTTGATTTCTCATCGGTCTGGCTTTGTTCTGACTGATGTGTTCCACTTCATTCTGGACAACTTTCAATTTTCCTGAATTCACACTTTTTCCATGTCTTGTTCCAGTTTGATGCGTTGAACACTAATGACCAATCCGGCCATCGGGGCTATGACCTGAGTCAGGGGATTGCATCCCACATTAATCTCCTTGAAACAGATTGGCTGGTCACATTAGATGACATCATAGAGTATAATTACATCATTACATAACTGACTCTAATCCGGCCTCGTTATCTTAGGGGTTAAGAGTTACAACACATAGGATAATTATATAATACTGAGAACTGTGGGCCAAGCCAGGCTGACATGGATTGGGAGAGGACACGATTCAATTCATGCCAGGTGACATGGTGACCTTTGGATGAGTTTCCTCCACGGCCATCCTCCCTCACCCTAAAGTCAATGCAGCGTCATGAGGCTGGAGAAGCCAGTTCCCCAAGCCAGCCTCGAAAGGGACTTCTGCTCCTTGACTTTCTTGGAAGGAGTGAGCCCTTGAACTTGCTACTCCACGGATTCTAGGTCAAATGCTCTTTTGTCGCCAAGCCAGACCCCCACTTGAGTAAAGCTAACAAAGTCAGGCCCTGTTGGCACGTGGCAAGCTCGGGCCTTGGGTGGACACAGCTAGGAAAAACTATTTCACCTGTGGGGGCGGCTGCTGGGTGCTAGTAAAGCAAACAGTTAGGGAATGAGGATTGAAATGTCCCTGAAAACCGACGTGGGGAGGCATAGTAACTCCAGTATGTTAGGGGAGGTAAGGCAGGCGGGGACCCCTCTGGGTTCCCTCTATCCAGGGGGTGCGCGCCCAGATTGCTCTCCCCGCCTTGTTTGGGTCGGGCTTCGTGGCGCGCCGCAGGAGGCGGGCGGGTGATACCCGGGGCGGGGACCGGTGTCCCCAGGCGCGTGCTGGCTCCGCCCCACCGCACACCGCGCACCGCACCGGCCGCAGACACACTCAGGGCGCGGCGTTCGGAGCCCATGGAGCTGGCCAAGCGCGGGCTTCGCGAGCGCGGCGGCGCCGAGACGCTGCAGGGCGAGCTGGAGGCGCTGGTCCAGGACGTGGTGCGGAGCAGCTCGTGGTGGGAGCGCCACGGCGTGGACTGCGCCATCCTCGCGCTCAGCCTCCTCGCGGTGCCGGCCGGTGAGCACTCGGGGGGGCTGGGACGGGGCATCCGGGGGTCCGGCTGCGGGGCAGGACGTTGGTGGAGCGGGTCCCTCTGCAGCGGCTGGGGGTGCACGGAACGAGTGGGTGAGGGGAGACGTAGCAGGAAGAGAAGAAGGTCACACCCCTGAAAGTCGGAGTTTAGGGTGTCCTGCCCTAAGATCCCAGAGGAACCAGCACTCCTCTGAGAGGGGGAAGAGCTAAGGAGTCTGGGTGGCTCCCTGGTGGCCTCCTATGGCGTCCTGGGAGAGGCTGCAAGAGGGTAGAGGAGGAGGGAAGGTGAGTTTTCAGCTGGATGGTGCCTGGTCTGTACCCCATCATACCCAGACCCCTCTCAGTGCCAATGGGGCCATGGGAAGAAACCCCCAGTGAGAGGGACCCTCCAGCTTTCTTGCTGAGTCAACGGACTCCATTTTGCCCCAAAATCTAGGAAGAACTAGTTCGCCCCCCTCAAGCCATAATGGGGTTGACCTTGACCTCACTGAGTCAGACCTTACTGCTGGGCACCCTTGGCATGGGCAAGCAGAGGTGGCTATGGGCTGAGTCGTGAGCACCAGATCTCCCAGACCTGGAGACAGACGCTGCCTCTCAACCTCCCCCACAGGGTTCCTGTGTCTGCGTGCTGAGAACACTCTGGTCTTTGCCCTGGGCATCACCATCCTGGGTGTTTGCCACTACACACTCACCGTCAAGGGCAGCCACTTGGCCACGCACGGGGCCCTCACCGAGTCCAAGCGCTGGAGCAGGATTTGGGAACTTTTCTTTGTGGAGGTGAGCTAGGGAGCAGGGCGGGGCATTTGCGTGGCTGACTTGCTGTACTAGGCACAACCTCGTCAGCAAGCATGCGGCTGTGGACAGCTGTGTGCAGGAGGCACCAGCTGCAGCCATGATGTGTGCACTGTTGGTGTGTGCAGGGAGCAGCTCCAAGTCTGTGTACTTCCCCAAGCAAGGAGAGAGGACCTGCACCCATGGGTACCAAACCAAAACAGGCAAGGAACTGGGCCTGGAGATGTCCTCTTGCCTCTTGGCAGCACTGGACCAAGCGGTGGCAAGACCATTTCCGCTCAGATTACCAGCAGGTGCTGCTCTATGGTTGCAACCACTGGGGTTTCTGGGTTTGCAATCAGGATTTAAAATGTGAACCCCAGACAGAGGATGTGGGACACAGACAGCTGTCCGAGGTCTGGATCATGCTCTGCTGATACCTGACAGTGGCCGAGCTATTCTGAGTGGCTCCTGACCCCAGCTCTGCCCCAGGATGGTCCCTCCCTCGCTGGACCCCTGCTGCTCAGCCATCTCTCGTTCTACACTTTGCCCCCACCCCCCTGCAGCCATCTCACTGTGGACAAGCCGGGGAATGTTGTCCTCTCTCTCTGGACTGGTCTCCAGGCCTCACCATCCCTCTCCCTTGCACCAGTGCACCCTCACTTAGCCACCCGAGTCCCTTCTGCATGAATAGGAAAGAGACAGTAGGCGAATTCCTACAAAATTAGCTGCTGCCAAGTTGACATGTTTATAGTGAGCTCGTCTATGCCGGAGATCAGTAATTTCCCTTAAGTTTTCCAGTTGCTGATGACTCAGAAGCAGCTCTCCAGGCCTTTTTCCAAGGTGCCTTTGGGTAGATTCAAACAGTCTACCTTTCGCACCGCTCTGTCTTCTCTTCCTCTGGTAGCTTTGTGCTGATCATCTCTTTATCGTGTATTGATTGGCAAAACAGCTGTGGATAGGTGAAAGGACTAAATGAATGTAGACATTCATGCTAGTATACGCCGTCCAGACATCCCCTAAAAAGCAGCGTCAACTGGGGGCAATGGTTTACGAGCTTCTTCGTCACACCCAGACACTCTAAGGGAATGAGCTGCTGGTTCTGGGGCCTTGAGGTCATAGCTTTGAGGGAGATCAAGATCAATGGCATAATATACCCCACAAAGACAATAGTCTACTCCTACTTTGGTCAGGAGTGACTGGGTCTTATAAGCTTGTGAGCATCCATTGAAGGTGCAATTACTGATCTCTTCTGATCCAGAACAAAGAAGAGGGAAGAGAAACAATTAGTCCAAAGGGCTAACGGACCTTGTGACCCTCAATTTCAATGGCCCTCAGGCCAGAAGAGCTAGCTGGGCACCAGGGCTGCCCACTCTGAGTGACCACAGTAGAAGATCCTGGATATGTATGTTGATGTCTACTGTCAAGTCAGAGCCGACCCATAGCTGACCCTCTGGCAGAATTTCAGAGGCAGTGGAGGAGATGGCCCATCCTTCTCCCACAAAGCAGCTGGTGGATTCAAACTGCACACCTTAGGGATTGCAGCACAGCTGCTTGCCTCTGGGCTACCAGCCTTACTGGTTCAATAGAAACCATGGCTCTCTCTCGATGATGGCTTTACCCACCCTTAGAACCTGAACTCGCCTCCGAGGCTCCACTTTCAGCCAAACGGTGGACAAGCCTCTAAAGTGACCAATGACACCAGTGAGACACTCGCTCCTTAGAAGAGCCAACTGTTTAATGGCGTAGAGCAGCATTTGTCTGAGGACAAGGCCCTGAAGACAGAAGGAAATGTGGGTTCTAGAAAGAGAGAAAAGTATGATTCCTATGTGAGCATTGTAGTTGATGTTACAAAGGAAAAAAGGAAAACACGTACAACATTGAATGGAAAACTGGTGGAGTGGAAAAAGTTTGCTTTGTAAACTTTCACTCAAATCATGATAAAAAGAAAGAAATAAGAATGAATGAGACTCTCCACCTACCTCCGGGCCAGCCACGGAACGCACAGGCCACCTGCTGACTAACCAGGGTCTCCACTTCTCACGGAGCAGGAGTCTTTTGGAAAGATTGAAATGATTTGGGGGAATTAAAAGGAAACATGTCTATTTAGAAGATTAAACCCTATCCTTTGATTAGGAGGAAGCGCATCTTTGTTGCTCTCACCTGACACTCCCCAGCTCTCATTTTTAAAGTGCTAAAAGTGCCAGGAAACGAGGAATGACTTACCCCTAGGTCTGTTTCAAGCAACTTCCCTTTCCAGGGATCCCTGGGGCTCTGGTCACAGTCAGACTCGAGGGCTGCAGTGAGGCTGAGTGAGGTGCTCACCTGTAGGGTGAGGTGGGGAGAAGCTGGTCTATGCTGTCTGTGTGGACGGTGACCCCAGGAGTCGGATTAGCCCCACGTGGATTACTCAAAGCTCTTCTGAGAGTCAGGAGCCCGGAGGCAGTTAAGGGTACTCATGTGTTTGCATTAATTGATACACTGATTTGATTGTGGCGGGGTGATGGTGGTGGAAGGCAGGCTGACCAGGAGGTCCAGGCTTGCTGAAGGAGGCCCAGTCTTTTTAACCAGGTTCCCCAGGTGAACATGACACCACCTAAGTTTGAACCCCTGGCCTAGACAGCCGGAGGAGCCTGGTGGCTATCAGGTGTGCTGTGCCCAGGCAGGGCGCCAGGGACACCTCCTCAGAGAAGCTCTCTTAGACTTCCCGCCAGAGCCACAGCACGGGAGCCCTGGGAGGTGGGCAGCCATCACCCTCACCCTGTACCCTGCCTGCTGCTTGTAACAGCCTCGTCCCGGAGCCCCACGCAGGAGCTTGCCTGCCTGTCAGCATTTTATCTACGGCATCTTGTCTCCCGATCCTGGCACGGCTCAGGCGCCTGGCTGACCCTGTGTGTCAATATTTGCGGATGTTGGACCTGCGGCTCAGGGACCTGGGAACAGTGTCGGATGACCCAAAGTCAAGGCAACCACAGGCTTGTTTGTACAAACTGACTAATCTGTGGTGAGCAGTTTGCATGGTTTCACCGCATCAGAGACTGGCTTCTCGGCCTGGCTGGCATGTCCCCCCAGCCCCCCAGCCCCTTCCCACGGCGTCAAAGCCTCTTTCCAAAATGCGATCCTGCCAGGGAGGGGAGCGCAGGCATGGTGAAGCGTGTGAGACTGTTCCCTGCAGATTAGCAAGCATGCACAAGGAAGCCTGCACTTGCCTTACTTCCCAGGGCCTCTGCTCCTGCTTGGGGACGAGGTCCAGGGAAGAGCTGGCTGGTACAGGGTCCTGGGAGCCCACATGTGCCCGGACTGGGGCTCAGGGCCTGGGAAGGCAAGCCTGCAGCTCAGCTTGGAGACTTTCTGCTGGAGGTTTGTCACTTGAACACTCATGCATCCTGTTGTCGGAAGCCTCACTTCTGCCCCGGGGCGTGACTTCGGCTACATCTGGGGAGGGTCCTGGTCCCTCATGGGGGAAGAAGGGGTTGTCTCTTCTTTTTTTTTTTTTTTTTATGGGGTTGTCTCTTCTTTTTTTTTTCTTTTCTCTTCTCTGCCTCTTTTTAAACAGTCCCTCCGTAAGGACTATCCACTTAGCTTTGTATCCAAAGACGAAATTTGTAGGTGAAAGGAGTTAGCCTTCGTTACAGACTGGTTAATTTCAGGGTCGAAAATATGGAACGCTTCACGAATTTGCGTGTCATCCTTGCGCAGGGGCCATGCTAATCTTCTCTGTATCGTTCCAATTTTAGTATATGTGCTGCCGAAGCGAGCACGGGGTTGTCTCTTCTGCTCCCTTGTGTGGTGGGGCACACGGAGTCTGGGGAGGGGATGGTCTTGCCTGCCGTCAGTTGTTGCACAGCCCAAGAGCGCAGCACCCAGACCTTGGGCAAGGACTCACCAGCTAAGTGTTTGTTTCCTCATCTAAGAGATGGAGCCGCAATACCACCTCCCAGGTGAAACCATTGTTGTTGTTGTTGCTTTTGGTTGCTGTGGAGTCCATAGGGACCCCACCTGTGCAGAGCAGGGCTTTCACTTGTGGCCTATTAAATCACCAGGCCTGTCTTCCACCATGCCTCAGGGATTGAACCAGCAACCCCTTGTGGCCACCCAAACTCACAGCCATGGAGTCAGAACCAACTCATAGCTGACCCTCCTGTGGGTTTTCGGAGGCTGTAAAATCGCACGGGAGGAGACTGCTTCTCAACTCCTTCTCCACTTGGCCATCAGAGTTCCACTCCTGGATGCTACTTGAGTGCTTCATGGCTTGCACCACCAGAGGCTCCTGTGAAGTCACCGTGAGGGTCAAAGGACAGGTTGGCAGTTTTCACAAGTGTCCGCATCGTTTTCCTCCTCTGGATGGAGTAAGCTGTCAACTCCAAGAGGACAATTAGCAGTTGTGGGCTGTGTTAATGTCTGGCCTTGCTCAGTGAGGGGTTGCCATGCTTACGCCAAGTCCTGCTGTGTCGTGTGCTCGGTGTGGTGCCTGCGTGGTCCTGGTCCTCAGGCTTGTTCTCAGCGAGTTCCCTGCGGGGATGCAGGGATTGGGGGTGTGGAGGGGTGCAGCGGACGCCTCTGCTCCAAGTTGCTGTTGTTTCTTTCCTGAAAGTTCCAAAGTCAGACATACCTCCCCGCCTGAAGATGATTATTTTTCTTCTGAAGACCATTTCTTTCCAAAAAAATCCCCAATCTTTATTTTGTCATTGTTGTTAAAAACACTTATGACAAAATGACACTGATTCACTAATTTTGACTTGCATAATTGATGACATTGATTCCATTTCCAAAATAGTATAACAGTTATATCCTCCTCTACCAAATTATTCCTCTGCTGTTAGCATAAACTCGCTGCCCTCCAGACTTCCTAGTCCACCTTTGAAGCTGCTAGTGTCAGTTCTTGGAGACCCACTTCAGGTCTGCAGGGGAGACGTCCCATTCTTCCCTGTGACAGGCTCTGACCTGCCTCCAGGCCTCCCTGGAGAATAACCCTGGCCTGACCTTTGAGAGCTCTCTTCCCCACC